GGTGGATCTCTGTGAGTTCGAGGCCAGCCTGGTCTAGAGAGTGAGTTCCAGGAAAGGTGCAAAGCTACACAGGGAAACCCTGTCTTGAAAAAACCAAAAAAAAAAAAAAAAAAAAGAAAAAAGAAAGCAGGCTGAGCAAGCCATGAGGACCAAGTCAGTAAGCCATGCTCCCCCATGATCTCGGCATCAATTCCTCTCTCCAGGTTCCTGTCTTGCTCGAGTTCCTGTCCTGACTTCCCTCAGTGATGGGTTGAGATGTGGAACCATAAGCTGAAATACACCTTTTCCTCCCCAAGTTGCTTTTGTCTCTCACTAGGACAATGGGTGTTTGCCTGCATGCATGTGTATGTACCACATGAGTGCCTGGTTCCCTTGAAGGTCAGAAGAGGGTGTTGGATCCCTTGGACCTGGAGTTACACATGGTTGTGAGCCATCATATGGGTGCTGGGAGTTGAACCCAGGTCCTCTGAGAGAGCAGACAGTGCTCTAAACTGCCGACCTACCTTTCCATTCCTCAAATATATTTTGAAGATGTTTTTCCCCTCACTTTTCTTAGAGAATACACTAATAGCTGTACCAGGAGGACTCTGTGTTCCTAGACAATCATTACAACCAAAGTTAAAATAAATACATAAATAAAATGAAATTTCAAGCTTATTGTCTGTTGTGGGACTTCTGACACTGTTTTTTGAGACAAGGTCTCACATAGCCCCAGCTGGCCTTGAACTCACTATGTAGCCACCTTAAGCTCTGGTCCTCCTGCCTCCATCTCCCTAGTGCGGGACTCTAGGATTATAGTTGTGTGCATGGCCATGGCTGGTTTACAAGGTGCTGGGGGTTGAATTCCGGTGTCAGGGAGGAAGTCCAGGCCCCAGGTCAAACGATGGGGACGAGATGAAAATCTGATTACCTCGAAAAAGCTGTCAGTTTTTAGCAAACGGATTGATCGCGCCTCTGTGCGTCATTGCCATTCTTAGGTATGCTGAGGTTCAAGTTGAGAACAAAAACATGGGGCAGAAACTTGGTGTGCTCCTGCGAACAGCCGCTCAGAATGAGGCTGCCACAGGAGGGTTCTGTTTATCCCTAAGGCTGCCTCAGCAGTGACTTCAAACTTTGATAGTGTCTTTTTTTCCCCTTCTTCTTTCTTACTTTTTTTTTCTTCCAAAGATGTTGAGCAGCAGGCTAATGGCTCCCCAGCAGGATGCAAAGACAGCAGAAAGCTCTGGAATCAGATGTCAATGTATTCCTCCAAGACATCCTGCTAGGACAGAGCTAACTAACCAGGGCTTTACACTTCTCCTGGGGACCACGCTTTGATGCTCCCCGCCTGCTCTGGGCCTCCTGTATGCTTCCTGATTAAAATGCTGTCACAGATAAATCATGACTTCTGCCTGGTTGCTATCCCCTTCTCTCCCCACCCCCCTCTTTGTCTTCTTTCCAAAAGTTTGGAACCCTAAGATTTCAAAGATAAACATATGTAGACAGTCATGTCACGTCTCATATGTAACCATAGGGAGTTGGGGCTGGTCCCCCCTGTGCCCTCCCACCTGGCCTACAGTGAGAGTTGAAATAGTCATAAATGTTTGATCTTCATTTCAGATAGAAATGGCCAGATTCATTTATAGGATGCACAGGGTCCACATGCTATGGTTTGGGGGCTCTATTTACATACATGCATTTAATTATATAATTAATCAACCACCCTACTATTAAGGTACACCCCCTTATGTTTTCTGTCTGCCACTTTTGCCCAATTATTTATTACTTCTGTGGTTTTCTTACGAGTAGATTTTAGAGTGAGAATTCCTCCTTGTTTTTCTTCTATCTAGTCACAGATGGCCTGGGGATGAACACTGTCCCGTGGACAAGAGTTCTGATTTTTTCAAGGAATGGCCATCAGAATGTACTGGTGCGGGTTCCCACCAGGGCCTCTTCAGGCACTTGAGAAGCAACAGTCTTTCCCCTTTGCTTGGAGGAGATCTGAACTCAACAACCAGAGGCACAAGCAGAAAGGGCTTGCTCAGTCAGGATGTTTAACAAGAAGAAGCCTTTGAAAGTCACAAAGGAAAACCGAATTACCCAGCGCAAGTCAGTGGAGTAGAGTAGCCGCACTTAAGCCATACTGGTATCTCCTGCCCCTCTACATGGCCACCCTCCTCCTCCAGCTCCCTGCTCTCCTCACATTATACAGAGCAGCCTCCAGCCTCTCCAGCCTCCATCACTCCATGCTCCCCACAAAGGACGTCTCAGTCCTTCCCACCACCATCTCTTTGCTTGGGCTCTACCCGATTCTCTTGCCATCCATGCCTATTGTCTTGGAGCCTGTGATTTTGCCATTCGAGGGGATGCCCGTTATGTGTCTTGTGAGTACTGTTCTTTGCCCTTTTGCTGTGCCCCCCCCCCAGCCATCTTAGCAAGACCACACTAGATTCTTCTGCTTTTCTTCAGACGTCACTCTAGCCCATACCGGTAGGGATCTCTGTTGTCAGCCACTACTGTGCTTGTCACCTGTCTTTGCTGAACCTCATGATTGCATTTCTACGTTCAAAACCCTCACGGCCTTTCTGCAGCAAGCCTACTAGTCCCAAACACTTGGCCTTAGGGACCAGGGTCATCCTAGTGACTTTTCTTGTTGCTTCCTTGAGATTGTTGTCTTTCCAATGGCTGCAATTCCTGCCCAGTGACTGATTCCATTTCATTTTGGGAACACCATCAGCTGGTATGAGACTGTCCACTGAACTGTGGGAAACCCCCATCACAATAGACAGACCACGACAGGGATGATGAGAGGGGCTAGCTGTACTTTCAGTCTGATGGCTCTCTGAACGGTTGGTTTCAAAGTCTTATAAACAATTTACAACTGAAATCGTGAAATAAAAAACGGAGCGGTGACAAGAAACCAAGAGAGCAAGCTTTCCATTGGCTGTTGCCTGGGAAGACAGCAGCAGTGAACGGAGAGCGTCAGCCTTATGAGCAATGTTCTCCACGTTCTCCTTTGGGGTGACGTGGCTTTGGACAGAGAAAAATCCATTGGAGAACTTTCCATCGAAAGTCGAATCAGGCCATTGGAAAGCCTCCACAATGAACCAAAGGTCGAGGCTGAGAAGGACACAAATTAAATGTGTAGGTGCATCACTTCGTCCGTGTGTTCCACTTTTTGAAAATAGCAGGCATGTCTAACCTCAAAGATGAGTAAGGAACACACACACACACACGCACACGCACACACACACACACACACACACACACACACACACACACACACACAATCAAGATGCTCTATCATGTGCTGTGTAAATATTATTCCCTCAATCGTCAACACTAATCTTTTCTGTTAACTTCAAGTAACTTCCTTTTTAACCCGAAGATTTCAAAGTACTTAGTAGCAAGTACATGATAAGCTCAAAGAACTGAGGATGAGCAGTGGACAACAGACTTAGTGTGGGAGCCGCAAGCAAACCCTTAGCAGCACGTGGAGTTAATTGAGTTTACTTCCTTTCAGTCAGAGAAATTTATTAATTAAAAGCATAACGTATCCATCCCATTAATACCTATGCACAGGGGACTGAGTAACACTAAACCATAATTCGATGTAGGCAACCAAAGGCAAGTCAGCCAAGCAAAAGGCACCTGGTCCAGCATGGGTGGGCTCTATGTGGGAGCCTGCTTAGTGAGCATCAAGGGTAGGGGAGCAGGCAGGAAGAAAAGAGAGTTAGGATCCCCTTTATACTAAACTACATCATCCTCAATGTTTCTGGTCCAATCTTTCATTATTAGATGAGAGAATATTATAGTCATTTGTAACCATAACAATTGATTTTAGATTAGTTTAAAACTGTATCTGATTGATTTTATGATATTGGGCCTTTAATGGATTATATGAAACAACAAGTGAATTTACTTTCATCATTTGTGGTTATTAGAATTACATTTCTGTCTTGAAGACAATATTCTAATTTGTTTGCTTTCAGGGGACTGTGACAGGTCTCTGTAGCTCCCAACAGTACTGAAAATGAAGTGGTGGATAAGTTGGAGACTTAATGGTTGTGAAGTCCTTAAAAAACAATCCTGTGTTCTTAATGGAGTAGCAGAGAATGGGAAACTAAAGAGGTCTCGCTTTCTCTGCATGCATCTCACTTTGAAGTAGGAATCGGGCTCAGACTGATTGAGCTAGGTCGGGGGTAAAGAACTTGCTGGGGTTTACAGATGAGAGCAAATGTTTAGCTGTAGAATTAAAAGCCAACGTATACTAAACTGTTACTGCAAATGGATGCCGGCCCTGATCAGAACTCAAAAAGCGGAATGTGACCCATTCAAAGTTGACACATGTCTCCTTGCCCCGGGCAGGCTCTGCACCAGGCAACGAAGCAAGAACTCATTAGTGCTATCACTCAAGATTCACTGCTTGGCACAGTTATGTTTGCTTAAAGAAGGAGGCAGATTTTAAAGATGGAAGATGCTTCCCATACAAAGCCCAGTGGTCCAGACCCTGGGGTTAGAGCAGAAAGGCGTGTTCGATGAAACTCTGGTGTTTCACATAGTACTAATAAAAATGAAAAGCAAAAGTTTCTAATTGAGAAATTCAGAGTTAATAAAGGCTAAGTATGCTTCTTTCTCACTAGACTTCTCTAAGCCTTCAATACTTTAATGTATACGGGATTTTCCTTAGTTATTGGGCCTTGGAGCTGTTTTAGAGACAGATGGTATCGACTATGGTTGCATCCTTGTGTTTCATGGGGGTGCTATTTGGTGAATGCAGAGACAGAATATTATAATCCCTGGTTTACAGACATGGAAGGTGAGGCTATGGAGATTACATTTTAGAAAGTGGTGGAGAACTGGGGTCCCCATCTTCGAAGCACCAACTCTTGGGTCAAAAGTTTGAAGCAAGCTTACAGTTCGTACCCTGCAAGTGCCTCCAACTTCAAATGTTTCTGAACAAACTTTACCCGTGCTCTCCTTCACCTCAGGCAGGACACACAGACACAAGTCAGCAGTACCTGATACAAAGGCATGCAGATGCTATCAATCCACTCCAGTTGCAACCGAGGCAGTTCATCTTTCCGGTTCCGGTCAAAGATAGCCTAGAACAAAGAAGCAGAAACCTTGCTTTTGTTCACTGGAGTATTTTACAGTCACTTTGTCCAGTAACGCTTCAGATTTTACCAACTGAATATTTCACAAACCGCAATCCTTATTACACATAGCTTCTTCTCCTTTATCTACGATAAGAAATAAAGTATTTTCACATCTTATGAGATTTGTAAGTGAATTTATTTGAACTTTATGGCGTTCAACTCCTTGGGGCCAAACTCTGTCTGCAGGTCCAGGTAATGGTTACTAAATCAAGTCACCAGGTCACTGGGAACTGAGTACAAGTCAAGGAGAAGGAGATACATCTCACTGCCACAAAAATAATGCAGGCTTTTCTTTTTGTAGCAAGAAGATGTCAGAGTTTGGAAAAGATCCTTAACAGCAATTTTCTTTCCTTTTTTCCCGTTTATTAAACATAAATTATTTTATGATGATTTTAAGGGTTGGGTGCTAGTTTGGCAATCACGTGCTGTCTAGTAAGGTTCTGTGGCTAGTAGGTTACTAGGTACTTGTCTTTGGATGGATGGGGGTGGCAGACATTCGTTCTTTCTTCATCCCAGTATTTATGTCTTCTGGTGCCTCTCTGCTTCCTATAATCCACACTAATTTGATCATGGGGCTCCCCACTAGTGAACTTATTTAGTCCTAATAGCCTCCAAAGGCCATGCCTCTCCCATCAGAGTGGGACTGAACTTCCATGCTCTCAATATTCACATTGGGGATTAAGTCTTAGCACGTGAAACCTCCAGACTCAGACCACACCCAAACCACAGCGGTCTGATTCGTTTTCTCTATAGTTCTTTTTCTACTCGAGTTATTTATTTGATTTCTCTGCTTCTGATGAATACTGTATAGAAACACTCTTTTAAAAATTCAAGAAATTTCAGTATACACACAGAACTATACCATTATCACCACACTTAATTTTAAAATCCATGTTAACAATAGCAGCTCTACCTTCTTGCAGACTTCCAGCCTTATGCAAGCAGTGATTTACCCCTATCTGTACAGGTTTGCCTGTTCTACACAGTTCATTCCCATGGAGTCATCCGTTCATGGTCTTTTAGGACGGGCTTCTCTCATGTAGCAGGATTTTAAAGGTATATCTAGGTAGCAAGTATCAACACTTCATTCACTCATTTTTTTGTCATATTATATTTCAATGCAGAGATTTATAACATTTTGTGTATTAATTCATCAGCTGATAGACATTTGAGTTGTTGACACTTTTTGGCTGCTATGAGTAATGCTGGTGTGAACAGTTGTGTGCAAGTTTTTGTACGGGTGTTTTTATTTCCTTTGGGGATAAATCTAGAAGTGAGTGGGTTATATGGTAACTCTATGTTGAACGTTTTATATTAAACTTTATTTTCTTACATTGATGATGATGCCGTGACATACATGTAGGGACCAGAGGACAACTCTTGGGAGTTGGTTCTCTCCTTTCACCGTGGAATCCAGGGATATAACTCAGGTTGCCAGGCTTGTACAGTGAGTGCTTTGCCTGCTGAACTTTCTCACCAGCCCTATGTCTAACTTTTTGAGGATTCCAGACTGGATTTTCAAAGTAGAGCACTAGTTCACATTCCTTCCCGCAACTCGTTATGTCCTGGCTTCTCTGAAGACTTACCAATGTTTGTATTAACTGTCTTTTTAATGATAGCCCTGTTAGCATGTGTGAAGTGGTACCTCACCATGACTGCAATTTGCATGTCTGTGATGGTTAAAGATTTTAGCAATCTTCTTGTGTGTCTACTGGCTATGAGTTTATTCATGAGTGCGTTCGTAAGTGACATGCTTATGTAGAGGCTTTTTTCCAATTTTTAACTGCATTGTCTCTTATTGTTATAGGAGTTATTCTAATGTTCTAACTACAAGGCCCATATCAGATGTACAACTTGTAAATAATTTCTTATTCTGTAGATCGTCTCTTTGTTTTCCTTGTAGTATCCTTTGGTGCAGACATACTTTATGTTTTGATAAAGTCCAGTTTATTTTTGGTGAAATACAAGCCAACATCTCTGGCCTTTTTATCTTTTGTCTCTTGTATTTCTAGTATCATATCTATTACACCATAGCTGAATCAAACTCAAAAAGATTTAGACCGCTAACTTCTTTGAAGAGTTTTATTGTCTTAGCTTTTAGACAGATCTAGCAGTTTTAGCTAGATCTATTCAATAATATGAGTTTACTTTTGGGTACGCTAAGAGGAAGGACCAGGGGTTGGAGAGATGGCTCAGTGGTTAAGAGGTCCTGAGTTCAATTCCTAGCAACCACATGGTGGCTCACAACCATCTATAATGAGATCTGGTGCCCTCTTCTGGCCTACAGGCATACATGCAGACAGAGCACTGTATACATAACTGACTTGATCTGTTTGTGGGGCCCCTGGCAATGGGACCAGGACCTATCCTGGGTACACGAACTGGCTTTTTAGAGCCCATTCCTTATGGTGGGATGCCTTACTCAGCCTTGATGAGGGGTGAGGGGCTTAGTCCTTCCCCAACTTGGTATGCCAGCCTGTGTTGACTACCCTCTATGAGGAGTAGGCTAGGGAGTGGGATGGGGAAAGGTTGGGGGGAGGATGAGGAAAAAGGAGGGAGGGGGAACAGTGATTGGTATATAAAATGAAAAAAATTAATAAAAAAAAGGAATAAGGGCCAGGACTTCAATTCTTTATACTTGTGAATAGTCACTTAGCCGTGGACTATTTGCTGAAAAGACCATTTTCCCCACCAAATTGTCTTGAAAGTAATGTTGAAATTGTAAGGGTTTATTTCTGGATTATCACTTCTTAATCAAGGTTTGATGAGGTGAGAGGAGCGGGGTGCTCCTCTGTCCTGTGTTTTCTTTCCTTCTGCAGTATTTTGCTTCTTACAACTGAGCACTCATGATGATTTACCCCGATATTTCCCCCCAGCTGACAAAGTCCTAGGGTCCCTGAAGACAGGGAAGATGGTGTCCCCTCACTTCTGGATACAGCGTTGAGCTTTCTGTTTGACACATGCTGGTGCTCAGGCCCATTGTATCAGTCAGCTCACTGCTTCTGACATGAACCCTCTGCCTGTGGCCCAGCTTCAGTTTCGTCTCAGAAAGTTACTGTGATGATCTCTGGCCAGTGGAACCCTAGGGGTACTTCTAAAACTCAAAGGATAGGAAAGCGAGCAGGTGTCAGCTGTTGGAGCATTACAGACATTTTTGAAGCTGGGTCAGTGGGGGAAAGTCCTACCTCAGAAGCCAGACTCTCCTGAGGAGATAGCTGCGTTAAGTAACCTTTTGTGAGGAGAGAGGAGCATTTACAGCTGTATATCCATCATGAAATTAATTTCATTTGTATCTTCAGAGAAGGCCTTAGCTGAGCCTATAATTTACCTTCCTCCTGTTCATTTAATTAAATGACCTGTGCTGCTGCATTGTAAACTCTTCAAAAACAGTTTTTAGAGGGGATAAAAGCTTTTATTTTAATGTAGATATCACAGGGAGAAATTTGGGTTACAGGTTTTACAAATGAACTCTACGTATCCTAAACTAATACTTTTCAAAGCCAAACTTGGTATGAGCACCCGAAAGAATAAAGGGTGTTTTGATTCCCATCTAAACACACACTGCTTTGAAGTCGAAGATGGCTGGTGGGTGTTTCAAGCTGTGTGGTCCTCTGGATTTACAGGAAATCGACTCACAGAAGAGTCAACCTCAGAAAGGCTGCCGGCTGTGATGTCAACCCAGAAAAACTGTTCGAGGTAGGAAAGGGTCCTGCTGCCCTCTCTGGTGTTTGACTATCAATCAGCAAAGTGGGCTGTGTGGAAATGCAAAGATCTTGCCAATACCTCCAAAGACTCGGTGGATTGGCATCCTCAAAAGGAGACATTGACAACGGACACACACTTTGTGCTTCATTAAGCCTACTGTGCGCTGCACTGCCAGGCTTTATGATACTTTGCCCACTCCAAGAGTGACCAGGGAGGATGTTTTAGCTGCTCACTAGCAATGAAGAGGCTGGCCCTTCCCTGAGGATGGTGACCAAGGCTGCTATATCTAGAAGGCAGGAAAAACATCACCAGCTTATCATCAGCCTTCTCAAATAAGGATTGTATGAGGCGATCCAACATGAATAGCATGCCAACCACCCCAGAACCTGGATTCCCCACGTTTTGGTTTGAAAACAAGACAAAACAAAAAAACAAAAAAAATGGTTTGAAATGATTTGCTTTGGGGAGTTTGCAAGTTTGGAACTGAAAAATAAGACCCAGCTAGCTCCTTGAGGCTGGACAGCTTGACTTTTAATTCTCTGCTGTTATTTATGTTCTAAAGTGGGCATTCATGAAATGCTAGCATGTCCCGCTGTGGGTGCTTGGGAAATGCTGGTTAAGTAGCTCAGCAGTCTCAACGAGAACCTTCGGAGCACGGTGGTTAGCATTCTTGCTGAGTTAAAGCTTCAAGCTTTCAGGAGTTCTCCAAACCCCCTCCTCAGCCTTTCCCACTTCAAGCTGTGGTTTGGAGTTACTGTGGTAGCAAAAGGGAGCTCACCGAGGGAGTGAGTTTGAGTTCGGACCTCTCCCGATCTCCTTGTTCAAAGAACTCGCTGGTTACAAGTTCAGCCACCTGAAACACAGAAGCGTTTTAAATTATTTGTCGTGTTGTACACCACGAGACTCAGAAGCTATTTCTGGCTTATGTGCATGGAAATTATCTTAATGTGAAGAGCACGGTCTCAGGCTGCCTGAGTCTGGTACCAAAAGCACCAGTTTATGGTAGGCCCCAGTTGTTACTCCTCGGCTCGCACTGGTGTGTAAGGACCACATGCTAACTGATTGCACCCCTTCAGCTCCGTTATACCCATAATGCAGTGGCTGCTCCATGCCCACTCACAGGCACCTGCATGTCCCCTGCCTTCACCCATGAGCATGGGTGATCCACAGTCACATTAAAAAGGCTTTTTTTCTAGTCCCTCGGTTTGTGGTTCTCAGGATCGTTGCGGAAGAGAGTTGATAGAACAAACGCCAAGCGGGAATTTCTAAGGACACTAAGGTGTGCATTGAGTGAGTCTCTGAATGCACTGACAGGGATTGTATAGTACATTGGAAGACCTGAAGGGAAAGTTCCAGACAGTGGACAGCAAGAAAGCCTGGCTCCCCAAACTGCTTTTTCTCCATTTTAATGCTCTTACAAAAGAGGAGAATCTTATGCCCCATAAAAGTGAGATGGTTTAATTTGGTCAGGTGCATGGAAACAAGATAATTTTTCTAAATCAGATCTGGTGTCACAGGTCTGTAATCATAGCTACTCAGGATTCTGAGGCAAAGTCTGTCTGGTTATAGTGAGTTCAAAGATGCCCCGTGGAACTTAGTGAGAACATGTCTTAAATAGCAAAAAGAGCCCTGGGGATATAGCTCGGTGATAGAGTGCACGCTTAATGTGCATAAGTTTCCAGTGCTACAAAAAAAAAGATAGTTTATTTATATGTACCTGAAGAGATGGATAATAAAATGTAAAGATAATATCAAACTGATATATGTACATATATAATACACACAGTAAAGATGAGAGCAGCAATATTAAAAGACTCAAATATCCAGTGAGGTCAAACTTATAACATTTCTGGTAAGAAGTGTGGGTCCCATTCAAGAATTCAGCTGCATGGAAGTAGTAGGAAGTGACTCAGAAATCTGCCTCCCGTGTCCCCCACACTGCAGGTTCTGGACCTGGGTTCTCCCCTCTCCAGCCTCAGCCACTACCTTTGATTTCCATACTCTAGACTCTTTTCCCCCCTGACCTGGCTTTTAAAGAAGAAACAGTCTCCTCTCATCTCATTAACCAGCCTCCAGGACCTGCCCTCCCTCAGCTGCCTCTGAAGTTGTGTCTTTTGCTTTCACGTAAATGCACACAAGGCACCCAGGCAGGAACCCTGTGTTCTCCTCGGAAAGCAAAGACACTAATGGGAACTCTTGGTCTTCCTCGTCTAGAGCAGCCCTGCCCACCCCGCTCTGTGCTCCTCACAGTTTAACCTGGACCCCTGGCTTATTTGTACTTAAAAACCCCATCAGGATCGTCAAGTGGCTCCTGATTGGATTTTTCATTAGTGAAGGAAGCTGAGATGCTAATCAGGATGTGGGGAGCGGGAGGGGCCGCTGAGGAAACCCACACACTTCAAGTCATGTTCCTGGGGAAAGATGAGCAGAAAAACCCCAGCTAAGGTGCATTCTGAAAAGGATTTTTTAAAATAAAATGGACATCGAGGAAGTTAGCACGCATTTACATAACCTCTGAACGACTGGCACCTGTAATCCCAGCACTTGAGGAGCTGAGGCAGGAGGATTGTCCTGACTTCAAGGTCAGCCTGAACTATAAGATTCTATCTAAACATGTTTTCAAGGGCTTAGTGATTAAGAGAGACTGTTCTTCCAGAGGACAGAAGTTCAAATCCCAGCACCCACACGGTGGCTGACCACTCCCTGTAGCTCCAGTTCAAGGGGATCCAAAGCCCTCTCTGGCCTCTGGGCACCATGCACTCACCTGTAGGAGGAACACTCACACATATGAAATAAAATTAATCAAATTAATCTTAATTAAGATAAAACTATATATGTAACATATTAATATAAATATATGCATAGATGCATATATTTACATTTTAATTTTAAGTGTGTGCATGTGTGTAATCATGTTTACATGTGTTGGCACATGTGCATGTGAGGATGTATGTGCTCATGTGTGAAAGTACACATAGAGGCCAGAAGTGGCCTCCTGCTTCTGCGAGGTCTTTCTCTAAGTCTACCTTCCCACATGATGGGCAGAGGTGTTGGAAGGTGTTAGTCAAATACACAAGTCCTTTATGTGACCTTTGGTGACTTCCACTGTGTCACACTGAAATTGACAACGGCTCAAATGGAGGAGAACTGTCCAGTCTGCACCAGACTGCGGTGTGAGAAGAAACAATCTCCTGTTTGTGTCAAGGAGCTGAAATTCAGAATGTATTTGTTATTGTGGCAAAGCCTAGCTTAATCCTGACATAGGAAAGAATTGGTATTAAAGCAAGGTGCTGATGGTTAAAAAGGGCAGGGGGATATATATATATATATATATATATATATATATATATATATATATATAATCTAGAGAGAGAGAGAGAGAGAGAGAGAGAGAGAGATTAAAACATATATCAGCTTGGAGGCCAGGTATCAGACAGACAGGAGGCTGTACAGATGTCAGTCTCTTCTCTTATGCAAATTTGTGCAGTTATCACTGAAAGAGAGTAAGCACTATTCCTAAGGAATGTCTAATTTTGGGAGAAGTGATTGGAAAATAAAATGCTAACAGCATACAATAGTGTTCCCCCAGGCATTCTAGAGATGAGCTCAGAAAGGATTAGTAGGTTTATAATGAGGGATGAAAGGGAACAGAAAAATCCAGGCTTGTGGGGATGGAGATGAAGCTGCTTCTTAATTCCAAACTAGAAATATTAAAATTAAGGTATGCTTTAGGTGAAAAATATTAAGACTCAGCCTTGAAATAAGGACCTAATTAATGGTATGGCCAGTATACTTATGAATAAAATATCTGGAAGAATTAGGTGACTTTCAGCAAATTCTTTTTAAAAATAAATTTAAATGATTTTTTTAAAAATTGTGTGTGTGGTGTGTGTGTGTGTGTGTGTGTGTGTGTGTGTGTGTGCGCGCGCGTGTGTGCGCGTGCGCGCGCGCTTGTCACAATGCCTGTGGAGCTCAGAGGACAGCTTGCAGGAGTTGGTTCTCTCTTTGCACCTTCCTTACGGGTCTGGGGAATGGAACTCAGGTTGTCAGATCTTGCCATCAGTCATCCTTACCTGCTGAGCCATCTGACCCAGCACATTTTTCCAAACAGACAAAATGGCTCAGAAAGGAATTTAACTACATAGTTCTCTCATGAAAGCTGTGAAACCTGGGGTCCTCAAATGAGGACACAAGAGAGAAACATTTCCTATATTTGTCTATTCCTGAATGCCAGAAAGCAAAAACAATCTAAGATGTTCATCTAGAGAAGAACCACGGTATTTTTTTTTGTTGTTGTTGAATGCTTATGAGCACTTTTGTGCTTAAGAAACCACAAGTCTGTGACTACACGAAACCAGCTTGTAACCTTCTTCAGGTGGGAAGTAGGCTGAGGCAGCTGCCTAACCTCCAAATCACAGGAGTCAGTGGGAAAAGAATCATTTTCCTAGGGAACTAAAAAGCTGTGGAAAGAAAGCAAGCCGTGAGTGGGGAAGCCTCCCACAGGGAGCAGGGCTCACTGCTGGTGGAGACTTCATGGTGAATGCCTGGAGGGCTTGGGACCTCCATGGACCATTGGCTGTGAATGTCCTTTATCTCTTCCCTTGCTGACTGGGAGTGCTGTGCTGGTGTTCTGTGTGTGGAGGTGGCTGTCTGATGCTGTATTTGGGCATGTGCAGGTCCTTAAGTTATACCCACACCTGTGGTAGGGAAGGTACATCATCTGGAGATTCTAGACTGTGAACCTGATGCTCTGGCTGATGGCCCCCCTGATTTACCTTCCCTAGGGAGAGAATGGGTATGCCTTATAAGAACAGTGAATGACATTTCTGGTGAATTTAAGGGCAAACCGTGCTAGATACATTCTCACAAACTGGTTCTGACTTTCTGCTTGCTGGGCATAGACATGGATTGTACTTCTTGGTGGAATAGGGTCATGTGACAAGTCTGGACCAGTGGATTATTGAAGGTATTTAATTTCTACTGTCCGGCCATCAGCTCAACCCAGAATGAGAGCGGAGGTGCTGAATGCTATGAGTGAGACCTCCCGAAAAACTGTCAACTCCTTTAAACATGAGATTGTTGTTGTTGTAACTTCATGTCAGCTTCTTGGACATGAGCTTTGCAAGTGACACTGTCATGTCACAGGGTCAAAAGGTTAGACCTGTTTAAACCATGGTGTTTAAAAATGCAAATGGTTCCAGTCTGTGGGAAAAAACTTGGCCCTTTATGAATGAGGGTGGTCTCTAATCTGCTGGGATCTATTTTAAGTTTTTTAGTTTAAAAGTTTTTTCCTCAGAAATCTGCGCCATCTCAGCAAAATCAAGGCAGTGCAGAACCTTTCCCCTGCCACTGAGGCGTTCTCCAGTCCCACAAATGGCCTCGGCAGCCCCACGGGCTTCCTTCTCTTCTTGCATTCCTGTCCATGTTTCCTGGAGGTCTTAAGTCTTGCAAGTCTGTGTCTTGTTCATTCTTTAGAACCCAAGGAATCCTGGATCACGCTCAACCCCCTCGTCTCTCCACCACCAAAACAAGTTCTGAATCCAAACACAAAGGTTACATCTAGTGTGAGCTTGTACATTTTGGCTAGTTTTTTTTTTTTTTTCAAATTTCTGGCTTAGGAACTGTCGCCTTCCCAGGGTGAAGGTCACCAATGACTGTTTCTGCTGAAGTAGCTGATTGGTGATGGACTTCTGGTCTGAATAGTTATTGTGTTAGACGTGACGGCAGTGATCCTCAAGTAGCCCAGGAGGAGAAGAGCAAGTCTATGTTTATTTCACCAGCTGCGATCTACAGAAGACCTTGGGCCACTTGTCCTTTCTAAGCCCATCCTTCCCATTTGTGAAATGCAGGCAATAACCAAGTTAATTTCCTAAAACTCCAAAACATCACTCCAAACTCTGTGGCTAAGATAACAGGAAGTTATTCTCGCATAGTTCTTGGGGCCCATGGTTCTACATCAGGGTGATGGGCAGAAGCCCAGGGGTTGGTGGTGTGCTCCTTTGAAGTCTCCATCTGTTTTCAGTGTTTGGTAGCGGCCAGCACTTCTTGCGGTGTAGACATTATCATTTCAGTGCATGCCTGACTTTCACATCACCTTCCCTTCTGAATACCGAGCTCTCTCACTAGGACATTTATGACTGGAGTTGGGACCTAACTAGATAGTCCAGGCTCTTCTCCCTCAGCAAATCCTTACTGACATCTACTCTCGCATGTAGAAAACTGTCCTGTTCTAATCAGGTAATGGTTAATGGCTTCTGGGATCATGATGTGATATCTCTGTGTTGTGGTTACTCAGTTTATGCGCTGACTACCTACCATACATTAAGTGAGACATCATGTACAAACCAGCCATTTATTAATACACGAATATACCTTATTTTCCCCAAAACCTCATCTTAGGGTCCCATAGTCTCTACAATAGGTGTCTCAGGAAGCTTAGTTGTTGCTAGCTAGTCCTGCACTCAGGAGGCTGAGGCAGGACCACCACCTGAGCCAAAAAATTTGAGAGCAGAGTAGAGACTATACAGTTATCCTATCTCAAGAAAAAAGTAAAATAAAATCAAGACCTAAAGAGCTATTAACCCCTCAAAGATCTTGGTAATCAAGTAATTAGGGAACTACTTCATTCAAAACTACTATTGTTTAAAAATAATGCTTGGGTGCATTGAGGAACTGTAAAATAACTATTAGTCTTGATAAAAAGTAAATGGGATACAGCACACTTTGGCTATAGAGCCCTCTGATACTTAAATAGTACTTGAAAGCAAAATGGAATTTCACTTTTCCTGTTTTCTTTTTCATGCGTGATTAAACAGGATCTTGTGCTAAAACATGATCACTTATTCAAAATCAGTATTGTGACTTTTGCCTTAAGGACGGTCAAAGCGTTATTCAGATTTAGCACATCACAAACATCTTGCAGCCAGAAACAGCCTTGTTCATGGAAGCACAGGAAGAAAGGCTGTGGGGTAAGATGGCGGCCGACTTAGCGGGCTGCCGCTCCGTGCCAGGCCGGTACCTATGCAAAGACTCTGTTCTCAGTGCTCAGCACCCCCACCCCCCTCAGTCCCTCCTCTGCTGAGCTCTGTCATTAATCACCACTTGCCTGTCTGGAGATCTCCCACGGTTTGGTCACGGCTCCAAGGTCACAGGCTGTCATTAACATCGATCTGAAAAACAGAACCGAGCAGCCTGAATAATCCTCTGCCGCATTCCTAAACAAACTCACCCTAGATCCATAAATAAATAAAATGGAACCGGGGTCAGCCCACATCTTCTTCCCTCAACAAGGGACCACGCTGTTGAAAGCCGCCCTGTTCTGCCTCTACCAGGCGATGCAGCCACCACTGTCTGGAAGACAAAGGCCCCTCACATCCTCCCTGTCACCCTTTTGTTTAGTCTGCGGCAAATCCAGGAAAGCAGGACGGTCGTCTCTCTACACCTGAGTCAAGCAGGCGCTGTTAAAATAGTATGCAATGAGGACACACACACACACACACACACACACACACACACACACACACCACTTAACTAGGAGAAAGGCAATCAGTATATAACACGATGTGGCCGATGAATATGCTTACTGACTCAGCACTGTTGACAGGACAGAAATCCACACCAAAGAGATGAGATGCACGATGTGTAGGGAGTTCTTGTATGTTCGCAGCTCCACAGAGTCAAGATTTATCAGAGGAAGCCACACTGTGTCACCTGGGTTACTACCTGGTGGTCACCATGTTCTATTCACATTCTCAAAACAAAAGAAAACAAACAAACAAACAAACAAAACCAAACACCCATACCCAGCTAAGGCTCTCCTTAATCTTGCATACATAAAACACAGGCACAACATGAATCAGGGTTTCCAGGGGGCAGATTTAACTAGGATTCACACTGAACCATGGAAACACCGGAAATAACTCCAATCATCAATACGGTGGGAGGGTGAAGATTAAGGTACAGCTTTCGTGTCCAGTCTGCGGTGTTTCAGCTAACACTCGAAGTGCACCATGAAGAGTAAATAGCACAGGATGCAGCCAGGAGGTGCCCTGACCGTCTGCTCTTGGAAGAAAGGGCGTGTTGTGAAAGGTCAGAGGGCCGTCCTGCTGTCAGCTGGAGTTTAAAACCCTGCTGGATCTCAACGTTTTGGAAAGGTATCTGCTGCCCAGATGGCAGAGCAGGATTGGAGTGGGCAGAGTCCCAGCTAACAATGGGTCGTTCACGGTGAGCCAGGCAGCACAAGCATCGGCCACCCCCTTGGATGAGATCTGTATCCAAACACCCCTATGCTAAACTCTTGCAAAGGAGTCTATTGTTGGGCTCTGGTCCTCTGTAGTGAGCATCTGGCAATACTTGCTTTTCACTGGCTTTTGTACTGAGTGCTTTCCTAAATAAAGGACTAGCCGCTGGCTAACAGAACCTGCACTGTGGCCTCAGAGGTAGACCCTATTATTCTTATTTACAGACAAAAGCGTGGAGAGATGAAGTAACTGTCTCAAGGTGAATAAAGGAGTCGGGATTCCGTGTTTATCCCAAAGCTACCAGACTGCTCAGCATACTCTAAAGGTTCTCACTTCAGATTCTGTGAGACAGGAGGGAGCCTGCCTGTGGGTAACATACAGTGGTGTCTCCTGCACAGGAAATAATCTCCGTGAGATTGCCCACTTGGACGTACTTGGGATAATTCCTTAGGTTCTATTCAGTTGATGTACAGAGAAAAAGCGTGACTAAACACCCAATAGTGGAGAATCCACACAAACGCACGCTTTTTCTTACCGAAACACGTCACGGTGGCTTTTGATGTTCCAATCGTAGTCTCCTTTACTGACAAGCTCGAAGAATTCAGTTCTCCTCCTGCAGGAAAATCAAATGAAGAAAGGGGAGAAAACGCTGGAATGAAATTTGTCAGTCTATGGAGTGCCATAAACACATTTGTGGGGAAAATATAAGACCACCTGAACTCAGTAACTTAATATTTGAAATCATGAGGCTAAAGTACTATAAAAATAAATCACTTGAAAATGTTGAGACATCAAGAGAAAGCTGCAATCATTTCTAAGTGTATTTACAACAAAGGACCCTACAGATCCATAAAACAGAAAACAATGTGGTCAGGACTGTGTTGTGAAGCCCTCACTAATCCGAAAGTCAGAAGGGGGAGGCAAGGACAGACGAAAAGCAGGGGCAGTTCCAGAACGTTCTTTGTTCAGTCAGCATGGGGGACTCAAGACAAGATCAACTTTCTGGCAGTAAATTCAAGGTAAAGATTTGTTTTCTAGCTCAGAAAAATAACAAATTTACCATCTCAGTGCTCAAATTCATAGGGTACAGGGTCAGGAAGCAGCCACGTGTAAACTGTAGTTCATTTGTCTACTTGCTTGTGCACCTATAGGAAGTTACTAAAACCTTCTGAGCCTCAATTCCCCAAGGCACAATTTGACTATTTCATTTGCTGACACACTGACTTACTGGGGGGATTAAACGAGGTGACTGGCGTATATTAGCAAGTAGCAAAATGCATAAACATTTTAAGTGTCTTACACACACACACACACACACACACACACACACACACACACACACACACCATGCCTATGCCTCTACATCTCCAGATGGATGGAAAGGATGAAGGAGGTACATCTTAAAGTTATGAAATGCAGGGTAAGTCATTCCTGGTTTTGAAACTTTCACAACTTGTCATTTTTGTCACGACGAGGAGAGAGAAAAAAGGGTATGGACATCATGAGCATTTTAAGAATCATTTCCCAAGTTTTCACCCTCTTGGCATTTACTAATCAGAGTACTTTAAAGATCGTGACCAGTCTCTTTTCAAAGCCATCCCACTCCACACCGATCTTAATGTTGCTCCCTGGTTCGAGCGAAGCTGGCCACCACACAGTTCTCTTGGCCACAACAGCTGTGTAAGATCAGCCCTTTGAACATCCTGAGAGACGAGGAGGGAAAAAAGCTTGCTTAAACTTATTTAGCTATAGAATCCCATAGAGTGCTGACGTTTTAAAGAACACACACTGGAAAACACCACCAGGGTGCACCAACCACGCTGGCCACCAGAGCAGGGTCTTAGAAATAACCCATGGAAGTCTGAGTGATGAAGACAAGATGCTGAGAACCAGCTCCCCTGGGTCTGGCCTGGGATGCTCAGAGAAGTTGACCAAGTTTGGCTTCCTTGTCCACTGGTGAGAGTGAGGAGTGGATTTACCTGAAAGGGAGCCAGCTGGGAAGACAATATGTAGAAAACTTTCCTGTTCTACACAACAGAGCTTCTGGATCTCTCTCTTCAAGTGGATACAGGACAAGGTTACACTACAGACTGGGACAGACCCTAAGACACTCCCATAGCAGTGATCAGAGATGGTACTGCAGAAAGAAGAACCAGGCATCTCCCTTCCTCTTGGGCTGGGCAGTTACTGCAGTCCTTACTCTGCATAACTCACCATCGTTTCCATTTGACTTGTTTCCTTCCAAAACAGAAAAGGAGGTGGATGAGTGCAAAGGTCCCAGGTTTAGAATCACCTTGACCCGGACTGTGACTCGCTAATGTGGTTCCTGTGACTCTCGTTAATGCTGACTATGACTTGCTACCTGTGACTCCACATTGCTCAGACTCAGAGTCCGGCTTTCTGGGGAAGGATTTGAGGTAAGGTATGCTAAATGTTCGGGACTGATGGATCCCTACTATCTTGTTGTCATGGTGAAAATAAAAATGGCACGAACAGTTTATTGCCAACAGCAGTACATAGGGGAGCGATGGGCCAACGTACAGACTGAAGCATTTATCCAGTGCTTTCCTATCGCAGAATACAAATTAGTCTTCTTTCTAATTTTCTGGAGCAGAAAGTTGAGTCCAACAGGCATTTATGAAGTATTTACTCACTTTTATCCTAAGGATTTACTCAGCCTTATGGACATAAGGCAAGTGCTAGTTTTTAAATGTTTTGAAGTTACCTGGGACAATCAATAAAGAAATAGGTAATTCCTCTTTAAATGTGGTACTGTGGTGATACCAATAATCTTGAGACTAGAGTGAGGTGAGAGAGGCATTCCACAACATTTAAATGGGTGTCGGAAAAGCTCAGTCATGGGAGTGGGTGGAGAGAGGGCTCAAACAGCATTTGCAGAGGATCCACCTTAGGTGGCTCACAACGATCTGTAACCCCAGCTCCAGGGGATCCAATACCCTTTTCTGGAATCTGTGGGCATTCAAAATTATGTGCATAAGTGTATGCATGTGTGAGAGTGCACACACACACACTCACATATACACAAATTTAAAAATAAAGTAAATCTTTTTCAACAAAGCTCAAATAAAAATAAATACTGTTTTAATACAGTATTTTTAATACTATATTAATTTTATTAATAATATTTAATACTATAATAATATTATAAAAATAAAAATAAATTAAAAAACCATGGCAAATAAAATAACAAAATTCTAAAAGATAAGCTTTGTGCAGCTCGTGACATGACATTAGTCTCACCATAGTCCCACCCTCAATGCAGATGACACTTGTTGGGCCCTTCGTGGGTTCCTGTGGGACTTACTTCACTTACTGTCCACATGGTTGACCTTGGAAAAAGTTACCTCACTGAACTTCATTTTTCTGTTCCAAAAAGAGTAAGTAGAGTGAGCACTAGTGCAGTGGGTAGCCATTCCAGCTTTGACCTGGAAGTTCCAACCCCCGTTGAGGCTTCGGTAACGGTCATGCCTTCAAGGCGGGGCTGAGAGAGGATGCTGAAGACCCGAGATCCGTGTGATTGTGTGTTTGTGGGTGGGTTTCATAAACTTGTTTGTGCAGAACACTCAGCAGAGTGCTGGTCAAAAGCCGATGCCTCCGAAGGACAGGATACGGCTCTAGCGCTCATAAGCACCTAACTAGCTCCCACAGCTGTGTGTCAGCTGGGACATAGAAGTCAAGATTGAAACAACAGCTGGCCCGAGAGCACAGAGAGAGGCACTCAGCTTGGAGGAGCATGGAGGATCATGGGAGATTTTCTGGAAGAGCGATGTAGTGGGTAGCCATTTCAGCTTTGATCTGGAAGTTCCAACCCCCATTGAGACTTCGGCAACTGTCACGCCTACAAGGCGGGGCCAAGGGAGGCACCTGGAGACCCGAGATCTGGATGGGCCTCTCGGTTCCGGGACTCTGGATGGTGGAGGTGGGCCAAGCAGAGCTCCAGAGAACACCGCTGGACTGCGATACACCTTCCCCAGACCCCGTGACCTACCTATCCCTTAATTTGTAAGTTACGCCATTAAATAAATCTCCTTTTAACTACGTGGAGTGGCCTTAATAATTTCACCAATATCGCTTGTCAGTCATCTTCTGGGCCATCATACTCACATGGGGTTCCATTTCAATCTATGAGTTATTTCAAGAAATCACCAGAATGCAAGCTCCTTGAGAACAGAGACCTGGCCAGTTATTCTTTCCTCCTCTGTTGTTTCTAGTGTCTGCCACAGTGCCTCACATATAGTAAGAGCTAAATGAATATATGTTACATTGGCAAAGAAATGATAAAATATCTCAGAAATCCATTTACATTTTGCAATAGTTTTTCATTCTTTGGTTTTATCCAGATGCTAGTCACTGTTCTAGGGCATCATGGCCACCCTTTAGAGCTTTAAAAGCAATTTAAGATTTATTCAGGAAGAGCCCAGTTCCTTTAGACTAGACTCTAACGAGCCTCCCAAGGTTACACAGCAAGTTCAAGGTCACCTTGGGCATCTTATGGAGGACCTTTCTAAAAAATGCAAAGGAGAAAAGGGCTTGGGATACGGCTCACTGGTAGGAGTTGCCTAGCACATGCAAAGCTCTGGGTTCTGTCTCCAGTACTATGGGGGGGGGGGGGAGTTCTGTGGAAGGGATGTATTATCTTTGATTCAGAGTGGAGCTGTATTGTGTAAATGGCTAAGTCACTGCAAAAAAAAAATCTCCTTTTAATTTATTTTTTTATTGTTTGAGAATTTCATAGACGCATAATGTGCTTTGACAAAATCCATCCCCACATCCCCCTTCAATTCATCCCCTTCATCCCCCTCTAGCCCTGTCACCACTTTTCAAATCCTCTTTTCAAAACACCAACCTCTGGCCAGCAGGATGGCTCATCAGTTCATGAAACTTGCTGCCTGGCCTGGCAAACTGACTTGGATCCCCGGAACCCACATGGTGGAAGGAGAAAACCAACACTTGCAAGTTGTCCTCTGACCTTCAGGGCATGCCATGCCACCTGTACCCTCCACATCCACTTAAATATGTAAATGTCAACAGCCCCAGACCTCTGATGTGCAGTTGAGTAGCATCATCCGAACAAATTCTCCAATGATGAAAATGTTAATAGCTGGAGTTTCGAGTGAGAAATTCTTAAAATCACTGAAATCAAACTCAGTCATGGGTTTAAAATGGCATTAACAGAGCTAGTTTCCATCATGTTGGGAAGGAAAGGAACATTTGCTATCCCAAAGGTTGGTAGATAGAAGAGGGAGATGAGGGATCCTTTTATAAGACATGAAAATGTAGCATATTAATTGTTTCCTCCATGGTTAAAGTGAGGCTATTTCTTGATAGACTATATTTCCTCTGTCCCCCTAAGCTTTGGCTATGATCTCTAAAGATAAAAGAAACTACTCCTGCAGATGATAATTTTAGCAAGTTAACCTTGAGAAGTTGAGGGCTAGCCTCGGCTGGATGATCGAGCATATGTCTTTATGCACAAGGCCCTAGGTTGGAGACCCTTGGCTTGGTTTTCAGCACCACAAACACACCACAACAGAACAAAACAAAACGCCAAAGTCCCATCGTTGGCAGAGCCATACACAGCATATAACAGAT